GCTGCTGCAGGCATCGATTCACGCAAGTGCAAAATGAAAAAGAAAGAGCTCCACACATTTTAGCTCTCAAAGAAAAGCACACGTATGTATTAAGGATGTGTAAGCTACACGGCTTTGGATGTATATAACGTGCCAGGGGCGCACGATTTCGAATCTAATAATCGCGAGAGGGTGTATATATATCTGTGCGTGTTTATGTTGCACATACACACGCGCGCGAGCGGACGAGCTTTGATGGATTTCCCAGCTCCGCGGTGGAGCACACATAGCGGCAGCAAAGTCGGTCGCTTTTGCATTGCATACACATTCATATATAGCAAGCGGAAAGAACGTTTAATTAAAAGCGCCCACGCGCTCCTCGCAAGCTTGCAGCTCGGTAGTAATCTCATTTTGATCGTCGTGTTATACATGCCGACGCTTTTGTCTTCGATATGCTCAGAGAGCTCGTGCTTGTGTGTGTGTGTGTGTGTGTGTGTGTGTGTGTGTGTGTGTGTGTGTGTGTTTGTGTGTTATCGCAGCGCTGGAATATGTTTGCAGGAGCAGAGCTACTTATCCCTTTTTCGAGCCTCTCATAGGTCTTCATAAGGGTATTAAGCGCGTTTTTCTCCCCTTTTTTCAACGCGTTGCGTCATTTTGACCGAGCTAGTTGCGCCACCGCGCATTGAGCTGATTTGATTACCGGAGTTTCAAAAATGTACAAACGCTTAACGCGTGCGCGAGTAAGTTACGCGTGTGCAGGCACTTACTTTGATACCAAGCGCCTAGCAACCCGATGGACAAAGTTAAATTTACACAACATTATGTTGCAAAAAAAGTCCTTCCAATTAGTGTAATTGAAATAAGATTGACATTAGCTGCAGCGTAAATATGACATACTTTCCATTAAAATTTCAGTATAATTAAGTTGACTCTGCGAGTGTATCAAAATTTATTTAATTTTTTTATCTCTATTTTTTTATCATCAGGCTCTTCGAGATAATTCGATGCAAATTTCAAAATTACAAGGAGTAATACGTTAAAAAAGTGAGCGAAACAACAACAATAAGTAATAGGGAGGAATTTTTCGCAGAACGAATTCCTTAAATTCGTAAAAATGAAAAATCTTTGCCCGTTCGCCGTAGCACTTTTAATTAAATATGTACGCGCATGCACGTGCGTACAACGTCCTAAGCGGCTCATTCTCTCTGGTCTAATTTTTTTCGAGAAATCCCGCGTGCTAGCGTGTGCGCAAAAGTTGCGTCGGGTGCGAGGCATGAACAAAAAAAAAAGAATTTCACTTGCATTCTTTATAATATTTTCGTAGCCGCCTGCGGGAACGATATATTTCGTGTTTTCTCTCTCTCTCTCTCTCTCATTTTTTTTTGTTCCGTGCGGTCTACTACAAAAGCGTGTTGATTACACCCGCGAGATAAGGAGTTTTTTCTCGTGCATTATAACGGGAAGAGATGGGTAAAATTCTACATCGGACCCAATCGGTCTCGCGAGTGCAGAGCTCTCGGCTTATTCTCGAAAATTATAAACGATCGCTGCTAGAGAGGTCTGTTACACACAGCTCGTACCGAAGCTCACGCTCTACCCGGTGGAGCTGCGCGATGATGGATTTGATGGACTATAGCTTTTGATTTACACTGATTTATACGAGTGCCGCAGCCTGCCAAGTGTGCAGGTGCGATTTTCACCACCCGGGCTCTAAGCCATCTAGTAACATTCTCTTTAATAAACATTAAGCTTTGCGCGTGTAAATTGCTAATGCTCGTCAGAGCACATTCAATTTAAAATATTCAAATGGTACGCCGTTAATTTATCTTACTAAAGGTAAATATTTATTCCGGTGGATAACATTTTACTCTTAATTAATGGACGAGTTCTATTTTTCCAATTGGCCAAAGTGCACTATAGTCGTCATCGCACCCACAGTGATCGAGGCCGCCGTTGCGCTACATCGAAAATTCATCGTTACGCAAAAGTTGTTACAAAGCGTCACGCGCGTAACAATGCGACTCACCCCCGCTCGCACTACACACACACACACACACACTCACACACACAATGTGTGTACTCGTCGTTGAGCGCCGCCACACGCGTTAGCTGTAATCTTTGTATGTAAAACGAGATGACAATCTCCGCCTCCACTGTAATACACTTAACTCACATTTTTCAGCCTTTATAGATCTGCGTTGTAAATAGGGAGAAAAGCGCGGGGGAGAGAAGGGGGGTACAGCTGCAGCAGGTGGGAACGAGGAGGATTTTGTGCCTGTTAATTCGAGATTCGCGTGACTCCAGGGGCTACGCGCCGACTCGACTTACGTCTGTTAATGAATTTAAAAGCCACTCGCGCACGCCAACTCACTGAAACGCGCGTTGTGTATATGTCGCGCGTATACACACACACACACATATCTAAAGACGTTTCGCGAAGTCATTCGTTCGATCAAAATTAGAAAACACATATAATCGCTCGACGCGATAATCTTAATGTCGAGTGCACTCGTGCTTGATTAGAAAATGTGCATCGCGCGCGCTTTTACACACTCGAGCGACGATGATGAATCACGATATAAGAAGGTACATTGTTTTGAAGGATGTGAAATTACGTAATATTTCTTCTTTCTCTCTTTCTTTCTTTCTTTTTTTCTTCCTTTGAAATTACTCCGGAGAGAAGCAACTTATCTATCGTCTGGAGTTTATCAAGTCACGATGTTTAACTTGAAAGAAAATTAAATCGAATCTCAGACCGAATAGTGAACTTGAATAATAAATTTGAAGAAAGTTGTAGGAATGCTGGATTCTTATAAACACAAAGGGAATTATAAATTAAAATGCTTTGAGAAATAGACCATTAAAAATGTATAATTGAAAAGTAAGGCTAACTGCAAGATCTAGTTTGCTAAATATTGAATAATTGACAAAAGAGACTTTTTTCTCTCATTTATGAGGGAGGTCATATTTATGTAGCTCGATGTTGATTCATAAATATTTTCACGTCTAAACCGATGTTTTAATTTTAGAAAAAATAAATTATATTCAAGTCAATCAATATGAGCTCATATCTGACAAGTATTACGCGTTTGCGTCTCACTAGGCACGTAGAAATTAATCACGAACGAACGTCATAAGGCGTTTTATATTTCCCATCATTAATTCACATCACATTGACTGACTACCGCTATCCCCGCTTGTCAGGGTGGAAAATTTTCGTCTCCTTTTTCCTTGTATATCCGTGTATAGAGCTAGGACACGCATACATGATTTAGCGTTTAAAAATCCATCAAACTCGAATCAGAAATTCGTCGGGTGTATCGCGTTGCGTGCATCCACATATATAATACCTAGATGGTTTGCTTTGAGCTCCGAAAAAAAAATCACACGATTCGGCGGCAAAATGTATCCGCGTGTTTACGGTGGGAAATTTCCTTTCTTGCCCTCGCTGCGCTACGGGGCGCACTTTCAAAAAATCCAAGCATGTCAGATTCCATTTGCCCGCGAGGCAAGCGCGCGAGATGTGCCTGGAGTGAGAAGCGGAATTGTGTCGTACTCCCTTATAGCTCGGCCCTTTAATGGTAGCCTCGTGCAACATTGAAAAGGGCTCAAACTTCAGTTTTTGTTTTCATCCGACGAAAATAATAAAAGTAAATCTTACTTATCTGCGAGATAAGGAAAAAAAGCCTGCTCGAGATAAAATTTGTATTTCCGTGAAGTATAAACGATACACTGTACGAAAAAAAATAACAAACGAGACGTTGCTGCTCATCATTACGTTTGTCTACCTTGTGGACTATTTTTCTTCTTTTTTACTTTTATCATCAATACTTCGTGCCTTCCATATTTCTGTATTTGACGCGCGCTCGAATCGTTTTCATTCAAAGCGCTGATGAGAAAGAAATCGAAATTCACGAGTGCCTCGTAATACACGCAGCTTACACCACACGACTGAAGAGAAAAAGATAGGAGCCACAGACACGAAAAAACCGACTGGAATTAAAATCTCGCCTGCGGAGAATATAAATATTGGTTTGCGCGCCCCAAATTCATCATACATGAAAAATCGGAAATTTTTCACTTGGAAAATGAATAATAATTTTCAGATCGATATTCGATTGTTGCAGAATATACTGACAAACTATGGTGGATTTAGTTTTTGAATTGAAAATTTACTAACTTGAATGAACTGCGAATGAAACGAATCGAAAATGCAAGAATTATTGTCTTCTATCATACGAAAACCCTTTTTTTCTTTGAACGTTTGTATTTACTCGCCGTTTTCAATTATTTTTATTTTCCATCAAAAAATAGACAGCACGAGTCGTACTCCAATAATTCTTTACCGCTAAACTTTAGTTTTTACAAGTCGTTATTGTTCGAATTTAGTTAATATAAAGCTCTTAAAATACTGTTCTACTAGTCAAATATTCATTGAGTAATTTTGTATGAAGATTATTTATACTACTTGTTCCTTTATTTTATTTACAATAAATAAGTGCATCGATCAATTTCACCAGATTCTTTGTTCGTCTACATAATTTTTTAAGTGTTATAATAAAAATATTATAATAAATAAATTAAAACCATAATAAAATTTTATATGATCAAGAAACGATTACATAATCCATCCTGAAAATAAGTCGAAAAATATGTAATTAGCAGAATCCTATAATATTGTTAACTACACTGTATTTGCAGGTACATCTACCTCGGAATCAAAATAAAATTCTCAATAATTTTAGTCACCATACCAAAATATAGCATCTTCAGACATTCATAATTTTAAAAAAACTACCACAATTCAAACGTTATATTATTTCGCTTGTAGTTTGTTTTCACAGTCGTCACTACGGGTCACTTTACTGATTTGTCTGGAGGAAAACAAAGAAGTTGTTCCCGATTAGGTAAAGGAGAGTCCTTTGTTTTCCTCCAGGCAAATCAGTAAAGTGGCCAGTAGAGACGATTGTAAATACAACCTATTAGATGCTTTTTCAATTGTGGGTACTGCATGCTGAGCATTACGTATACGCGAATAATCTGTGTCTATTACGACAAAATCAAAGCATCGCTAAGGAGCTATCACAATCGCAGGATCATCTCGCAAATATTCCTGGTATCGTGCATACAATTGGTGACCAAGACTTAATTCCCATGAAAAAGTTGTTTGCGAAATTATATCTGTATAAAAGCTCTTGAATGAAATCAAACAGTTTTGGCTATTTAAGGTTATATAACCTCTAAATTTGTATAGTGTATATCGTAAAAATTTACGGTGAAAATTCATATGATTAAACAAGTCATGGAAAGCAAGGAGGACCGAATTAGGTACAACCTTTATTTATATGTGATATGTTATCTTTTTAAGCGGTCTCTTCACCAAATTTGATTATTCTCAGGGTAAAGGAAGAGCCGAATAATACTTGGCCGAATGAAGGTGATAATTATGTTTTTTATCCGAACCACTCTTGCGCACCAAATAATTGGGAATCATCCTCATTTTATAAATCACCAGTGAGTATAATGATTAAAATTATGTTCTTTTTTTTTATCATTCAAAACTGCTACAATATTTTAATTTTAGGATAATTACATGAATGAGGTTATGGCGTTACAGGACAAGTCAGATAAAAAAATATTTACAGAATTTGAGTGCAAAGATGTTAAACTTAAACTGGAATCTTTATCTTCAAACATTTGCAATGCGGAGTACCAAAGTTACCAACCTATCATAAAAATTGAAAACGAAAATAAGACCAATAACATAAATGAAAATATATTCATTGATTTTGAATGCAAAGATGTTAAACTTGAACTGAAGTCTCTACTGATAACCACCTGCAAAACTGAGTATCGAAATTGCTTACGTATTATAAAAATGCAAAACCAAATTCAGACTGGTAACGATACAGATCAGATAATTTTAATAAAAAAAGAATTGGATTATAAAAATAATGATCGAATTCTAGAAAAGACCCGATTAAATCTTTACGAATCCGAGGATGTGAAAATATTGAATTCAAGTACTCGAACAAAATTATTTCATGAGGATAATTTTTGTCGAAAAACTAATAACAAAGAAGCGAGTTTAAATACACTTATATTTTCGATGCACAAAAGCATTAGACCACACGAATGTAAAATTTGTCTGAAATTATTTCGATACCAGAAGGATCTCAAAAGGCACATAATAGCAGTACATCTTCGTAATAAACCCTTTAAGTGTGACATTTGTAAGAAATCATTTGGTCAAAAATCTCAACTTCCGTGTCACATAAATGCAGTTCATGATCGGATCAAACCCTTCGAGTGTGCCATTTGTCACAAATCATTTGGATACCGGGGTGATCTCAAGAAACACATAAGTGAAGTACATTATCGGAGCAAACCCTTTGAATGTGATATTTGTCACAAATCATTTAGACGAAAAGGTCACCTCAATTCTCACATAAAAGCAGTACATAATCGAATCAAACCCTTCGAGTGTGACATTTGTCACCGATCATTTGGAAAAAAATGTCACTTAAAAACTCACAAAATGACAGTACATGATCGTATCAAATCTTTCGAGTGTAACATTTGTCACAAATCATTTGGACAAAAAAGTCACCTGAATTATCACATGAATGCAGTACATGATCAGAGCCAACCATAGGAGCGTGAGATTTGTTAAAAAATATGGATGCAATGAAGACTTCTAAAATCGTACCAGTACTTTTAAAAATCTTTCTTATAAATGTTTTTCATTTTTGTGAATATCAATGAAGTTTTTAACTTGTAATTAATTTTGCTGTAATTGTAAAAAATTGTCTACCTATCAAGGACACAAATAATATTCTCAACTGTTGAAAATTTCTTTTGAAGATTTTTTCATTCACTTTTTGAAGAATTACTCATTTCGTTGAATTGCATTTATTTTTATTTTGACCATCAAAAATATTTGATGGGAAATTGATTTGATTTGAAAAATTGACTGCTCTGTGACGAAATGTTTATACCATTTTAATTTTACTTTTAATTTACAAGCTTGCTGACAGAGTAAGTAAATTTTTTCACTGAATTTTGCTGATCACTCAAATGATTGATGAACATTTCCCATCTAATCCCGAATACGCACTTTTTCCTTTATCATCGTTCGTTACTTTATTTTAAAAAATAATTTTTTGCATTGTTATTAAAAAAAAAAAAAAAAATCGTTCGATAAAGTTTACCCGAGCTGCTGCGTCACTGCCGATCGCTGATCGGGAGCGAGTTTCGAAAGCATATCTATCGATCATTTCCCTACATCAGTGGTCCTAATTTGATAGAGAACAAATTATTGACAGCGTCAATTTTGAACTCTGTCGCTTTATGTATATAAATTTTCAACTGCGCCATGAGTAAATCGATACGTCGCGGCGCTCGGAGGTGCACTGACGAGCTCGGTGGCCTGCACAGCTCAGCGCAGTGGCAATACGTCAACACTGCGCCAACCGCAGTTACAACAAACATAAAAAAAGGAAGAAAGCTGCGATTGATGCAAAAGATGAAAAATAAAAATAAAGACAAAAATAAAAAAGGAGGAACTTTTTTCTACGACGCGCGTCTGTCTCTCGTCCGCCCCCGCAAACAAACGTTGGGGCCGAAAAGCCGGGGAATCGCGTAAAATCAGTAACATAACGAGCTAAATCAGCATTTTTCCTTTGTGTTTGTGTGTCGTGTAATTGTTTATTTACGACTCGGCTCGGATCCGGTATAAATAAAACTTGTCGCTGCAGCGACGAATTACGGCTTCTCTCGTAAATCCAATTCTTAGATCTTGACAGTTCCCTTTTTTCTCCTCTTCTTCTCTTTTATTTTTATTTTCATTGGAACACGTGTGTGCGTAAACTTTTTACGGCATTCGAACGACTCGCGAAAAGAGCCTGAAAAAATGATTTCTATGCTTCATTGAATTCGTCATATGTGAGGTATCGCTCGATCATCCGTAATGTCAAACACGGGGCCGCGCCGAGCCATTACGAACTCTTTTTTGCATATACGAATGAAAGCAGAGGAGTAAAAATACGCTTAAATTCGAAAAAAACATCGGCCCGCAGGAGAAAAAGAGCAATCACTACTATACTGCCGCGACGAGGCGCGCAGGCATCAAAAGCACCCATTGCGCCCGCGTCAATTTTTCTCATTTCTCTTTTCCGCGCGCGTGTGCATCATGGCATGCGCCAGCACTGCTGTATATAGGCGTTAGCGCGTGTACACCCTCGAGCGCACGGCGACGCTTTGAGCACCGAACACTGATAAATTCCTCTTGGAATAAATAATTAGGCTAGAATCACGCGTCCCAGAGGTCCACTATGTACGGACTTTTTTTTGCTCTCTCTCTCTGCGACGCTTCACCCACGGCAGGACGAGCGACACTTGAGCCGACAGAAAAAAGGCTCCGCCATTATTTACCCGGCTCGATTGGTATTATTTATTTTCGCTCCCTCTTTCCGCAATTCCGATGTACCGTGCAGTCAAGCTGGCTCCGAAGTACAGAGCCGTTCCTGCATCTCTCCTTTCTTTTTCTGCCCTCTTTTTTGCGCAAGGAACGAATGTACAGTAACCCTTTTATCTTGCCCTGATAATATCTCACTTTTTTCCGAATAATTAGTCCGACCCTGCGCCGGGAGAATGTAGCTAGTGCCTTTTCATTTGACGTTTCGATTTCCCCAGACTATTAATTCAACTCTCTGCACTTATTAAGGTTCATCGAGTTATTTGATTAACTACAATTTTCGTTTCATTTTTTGTTACAGGTGAGTCCTTTGCCCAAGATGTACGATCAAAAACTCGTAAGTATTACGACGAAAAAGACTGCAAAATCCAAGACGTGAAACGTCATCGCGCGGTAATTATTCTAATTTGAGCGAAAAAAATATTACGTCAACATTTCCCTCATTGTTCTTCTTAACGCGAAATTTTTCTCCACAAATCGCGTCAAATTTCCTTGAAAAAAAAAGAACCAAGTCATACGCTTTACGGTTTAAATCTCATTGCTATCCGAAAATGCATATTGTTATCTCGAGGCGTGCAGCCACATTGAGGCTCGAAGAAGAAAAAAAAAGAAGAGCTGAGAGCGTTAAAAATATCAGCTTTAGCTCTCGCGAGTACTGAAATTCCTTGTGAAGAGAGAGAGAGAGAGACGAGAGACGAGAGGCAGGCAGGCAGGCAGGCAGGCAGCAGCAGCACACAGCTCTCCGACGAGCTTCAGCCAAGCGAAGAAGCGAACTTCCTAAATCCGGCAGAGTCGCTTCCTTCTCCTTGAAGAGCGAATATATACTATATACGCGCGACAATGCGCCTTGCACTCGCTACTACCTTCTGCGGCCGCGGTTTATATACGTATATTCTCTTGCTTTGTTCGAACGAGTGCGTCGGATTCATATATAACACTCGCCTTTATCTTATTGTAGTTCGCGCTGCCACGTTCATATACTTGCTGCGCGCGGGCGTATTATACGTACTCGAGACACTTAATTTCGGCCAATTTAATTTTACAAGAAAAAGGAAGGGGGCATGTAATTTAAGTGTCATTATATTTTGGTTTCATTTTTGGCTGCTGCTGTTGCCGCTACTGTTGTTATTTTTGTCGTTGTACCGAACTCAAGATTGTGCAGGCTTATGAAGCTCAGGATCGTGATGGATTGAGTGTATATTACAGCTTTGAATCACGACCGGCGACTTTTGCTGTCTTGGGATTTCGAGAGCTGCGGAAAAATCCCCAGGATTAGGCACTGTTGTTGGCATACGCGCGTATCTCTCTCTCTCTTTCTCTCTGCTCGATGCTCGTTGGACTATCCTCGGTAAATACATTTTCATTCTTGTTTTCGTCGCATAAACCTGGCTCGAGTCGCGACTTACGGATTATGAAGTATCTAATACCTTCTGGAGGCAGGAGGAGCAGCGTATGCGACTTTGGGTGCCGCCGCCGCATCGCTACTCTTATACTGTCAAGAGTCCCTAATGTACACCCCCGCCGCATCACCGCTGTAGTCCACATCGAATACGATATTTGCCTTCTGTGTGTTTTGTTTGACAATTTTCCGCAACAAAAGCATCGAAGCGAAGAGAAATGGAGAAAGAAGTAGCAGAGAGAGTCGGCAGCTACGAATTATTTCGCAATGCCGGTGCGTGCCACAGAAGAGGCGCAGGGAGCAAAAAAAAAATTGTTTAATCCCACAATTTTTCATTCTCGAGCCTCTGTCATAAATCACGGAGGCGCGTAAAGAAAAGTTTTTACCCTCTCGGCAATATGTTGCCCCGCGCGCGCGTTGCGTAGAGATATATAATACGTATGTATATATGGACGGGGGTTGGCACATTCGACGACGGATCCATAAGTACACACATATAACTCGAGATAGCTTCCAGAAGAATATCGCACGCGCATACACGCATATCACGCATACAGGATCTCGATGTTGCGTATACTGCTTATTATTATTCACCCAGCAGAGCATCAAAAGTTGGGCTTGCAGAAACTGTCGCATGCTTTTAATAAAGGTCGCGGTTGGTTTCTCTCCTCCACATACTCTATATTATAAGACTAGCAGCAGCTACAATGCCTCTTGCTTGCGCGAGTGGATCGCCGTGCATATAACAAATCCTCTCACGTATTTTATGCGAAATCTGCGAAACGTGATTTCAACATGTTGCATTATTATCGGCCACTTTGCGCGCCGGCAAGAGTAGTTGAGCAATGCGCGAGAGCGTAAGAAAAATGTCACGCGAGCACATCGGCTCATTTCTCATGTCGCGCGAGAAGCTGATGCGGCTGCTGCTGCTACTGCTGTTACTAGTGTACCCCGTCATATATTATAGCGGTATAGTGCAGTTGATGGAAGGGTCGCGCGTCAACGCATATCAGTGTGTACATGTATACACGCACTTTTAGGATAGATACGGGTGTTTACGAGCCATGCACGGGGTTGCTTTTTGCGCCGCGGCAACGGTACGATACGCGCGCTAGTTGCTGCTACGCAAATATTGTAAATTGCAAATGTAATAAACCATCTTCGCGTGTACATTCGCTGAAATTTGCAACGTACACCACCGCGCGTACTCAAACGTATTCTCGCGCGCGAATGTACACGCGCTAAAAGGTAACTTTCCATTTGTCATTGTTAATTTCCTTGAGTGCTCGTAGCTCTCTCTCTCTCTGGCTACACGTATGCGTGTGTGTGTTTCGTGAAAAATCAAAATAGAGACGCTTTTTTGGTTACGCGTTTGATCGATCAGCGCTGAATGCCGTGACTTTTAATCCGTGTTAACGCTCGGTACTTTTTTTTAACGCGTGGCATTTGAAAATATTTGAAAAAAATGTAAATATTGATGCTACGCTGTACTGCAACATTCCGAAATTCCAGAAACAAGAATCTCGCATTCACGATAATATCTCGGTTAAAATGCTAGTCGTTTAAGCTCGCGGAATGTCGCTTTACGTGCGCTCGCGTATGAGTAATCGGCGCAGTTCGTGCTCTGGCGCGCCTCGAGTAGTCTCGGCGCGTATATAAGTGCACGTATTACACCCTCGCACCGTGAATCCAAAAATACACATAAGAAATGTATACATCGTGTCTCGGTATGGCTTTCTCTCCCCCTACCCGGCGTTCTTTTCTCGTCCTAACTCTTTGGCTCATTTAGCTGCAACCGAGCGTTGATTTATTTTCAATTTGCGTGAAATATACTCGAAGAGGGAAAGAGACGAGGCTTTTTCCGTTCTCACGTTAATGGCGATAGCTCGTACCATCGCACGTATATGAGTATTATGAGTTACTTGCCGTCCTGCATTTTGGCTCGTCTCGCACGCAATTGAAATTCGAGCGTTTATAATATGTAGCCTGCCGCATCTTCGACTCGAACGAGCTTTGTATTTTTCGCCGATTCAACGTTTGTGTACGGCAAAATTATACGACTATACAAATACCGCATCCGATCTGCTGTAACACGTTGTGATCGCTCGAGTGTAAACTAATGAGAGATTCTACGTATATATAGCTATCTACGTATATATTGTACGCGTATGATGTATCTTTGATGCGTATATAAGGTACGGAGCGACACGATGCCACACTTTGGCGCGTTGATAATTCGAATTAAGACCTCAGTCGAGTACACACGACGACGACGCCGACGTATGAAGACTCGATGGAGAAGCGAGCATGGCACGCCGTATTAGCTTCTGAGCCAGGCGCGAGCAAGAGAGCGAGCGATGCGCCAAGATATATATCTCTGCGTACTATGCATCTCAACAACGACGCGTGTACTCGACACACCGTATACTGCCACATCAATCCAATCTTATATGCCGTTCCTTCGTGTAGATGCTTTTTGCGCGACGTTTCGTCTGCGCCGAGCGCTGCTGCTGCTGCTGCTCGGGAGATTCTTGTATGCAGTCGCGACGTGCGTAATACGAGCCACAGCTTTTAAATGCCGCTACACTGTATACTACACGCGAAACTTCTCTCGGCAGCGTGATCGTTGGAAATTGTAAACTTGTCATTGTGATCAGCCGTAAGCGAGCCGAAGGAGTGAACAACTGATAAATTAGATCGTTGAAAAGGAAAGAGAGAAAGAGAGATCGAGAGGGAGAGGGAGAATAAACTCTCGAGAGCGAAAAAAGACCGCTGCTCCACTGCTTCGGGGCAAAAGCTGAGCCGGGTATCTTTAGAAAACGACAGAATTACTGCCTGCAGTTTGGAGGCAAGAATAGTCGCGCCCGTCGAAATGAAGAAAAAAGAAAGTATAGAGAGACGTACGGGCTTGATATGGCGAAAGAGAGAGAGAGAGAGAGAGAATAAAAAAAAGAAAAGCGTGTGGAGGCTAAAATTCGATTCTATTCTAATATCGTTAGAGAGAGCCATAGAGTCTAAAAAGAGGACTTTGCAGTTAGAGTGAGAAAATGATAGATTCAAGAGAAAATAGAGAATCGATGTTGTTCGAGGAATCGAACGAGATATAACGAGTGAAATTTTGCGCTTTGTGCTAAGTGCAAGAAAAGTATGGAATAATCGAGTGAGAGAAAGGTGGCCATAACATCTTGAATAATTTTAATACTTTATTATTCAGATTATTGTTATTTATGCAATATGTCTGTTGTTATACGCTGTATGTCCGTTGTATCATTTTCATATTTATAGTAATTGGAAATTTGTTTTGTCACTTGCGAGTTTACAATACTCCATCTGTTGACAGAATCAAAAAGTTCATAGTCAGAATATGACAACTTTGATTATTTCCAGCGAACATTACTATGCAGAGTATTTGATCATTTATGGCAGTCTTTCTCTCAGTGTACAACTTAATTAACCTAATCATCGTACAGTATAATTTTAAATTCGGTTTCAATCGAGTATCGTATCAAGCCTGAATAAAGGGCGATAGCACGTTTATTTTGATGTTGTGTTTTGCTAAGCAGAATGACCGGCGATCGATTCGGCTTAAAGTTTCGGCGGGCGCACAACCTGTGGCTACAACAATTGGCAAACCTCGAACTCCCGTTAAATACATACACAAATATCCAGTCACGAGGCTCGAAGAAAAACAAAAGGATTATTCGCGGTGCGGCGAAACAAAAATTGTCCCGAGCATGATTTAGTTGGTCGACGGGCGCGCGGCGGGTTGCAGCAGCAGCCTAGGCTTAATATATTATACGAATTCTTTCGAAAGACAAATATATTCTCAACGGGCCACGTGTATTATACACACAGAGACACGCGCGCAAGTTTTAATAAACTGAGTTTAAATCCCAGGACATAAAGCGTCGTCGTCGGTATAAAAGCAAGACAAAGAA